CCTATTGGAAGAATAAGGCAGAGACTTTGTACTTGAATGTAGTCCGAATAAAATGTTTGGGCACCTGGTTATTCTCCATATAGGAAGGAAGGGCCACTTAATTTCTCTGTTATGGAGGAATTGAATGTGAAGACTTTGATAGAAAGGATTATGTATTTTATATGCCAAAAATTGCTCTCCACTGAGCAAGAAAGGCATAAGCAGCAGAGGATACTCAAGGGAAGACTTAGCCCTTCCCTTCTCCAATAGCAAAGTGCTCTAATATGTATTTGAGATAGTTTTTATTAAGCAAAGGACTTAAGTACAGGTTCATGACTTATGGACTTTAGTACAACTTAAGCATCTATTTAAGTAGATCCCTTTATCCTCAGAAGCCTGAGCTCTTGACTCCTCATTCATGCAGCTCAGCTGCTTATCAGTTCTTCTACCTAAAAAGATACCTGTGGAGAAAAGCCAGGATTTGCTTCTATCTGATTAAAATTAGAAGAGAAGGAAAATATGCCTGTAAAAAATATTGCTGCAAACTGTTTTCCCTTAAAGAGTCCAACTGACAAAGGAATATGCAAAAGAAGAAGAGAATTGCAAAGCACTTCTTGTTCAAGCAGGTTCCCAGGGTTTTTCCCCACCTCTTCATTCCAGATTGCTTTCTTAGCCACCCCACCATAATTACTGCGTTGCATGCCTTATTACAGATGAAGTTATTGTTGTTACACGTTACTGTTTCACAATAATCAATGCATTTGTACTTCTAGCTCCAAATATCTAAAACCACACAACACATTAATGGTTGTGATCAAAAGCAACCAAAAGAATTTAATATGAGGGCAGTGTTCCTCTTAGTAATTGGGGATGGGTGCTGGCTTCTCATGTATTCTAGACAGAATGTCTTGGTTTTGATATCAAATGTGCTACGTCACCATGTGCCTTGCTAAAGCAGTTTGCTAATGGGCATTGTAGCTGACAGAACAAGCAAGAAAATATTGCTGTGGAGCTCAGTTCAGAATCCAGTTCCAAGTATGTCGACGATGGCAACAGAAAAACTATTTATACACATATGTAAATTGCAACACAAATACAACTAAATGAAATCAAAACAATTTAGCAAAGTATACATAAATCTTTTTCATTAGCAGGTAACAGATATGATTCATAGCTAGTGCTTGGCCTTTATACAATAAACTGTATAACAATGTTGGCATGTGCTTAATTCAACATCACAATGCAAATGTAAAACTAAAAAAAATTTGGAAATCAAATGTTTCAGCTAGATCTCATTTATTTTTATTGCTTTATATTGTAAAACCAAACCTTAAGCAATGGCATCATTTCATAGGAAGATTTCATGATTTTGTGGCAAAACTTAAAAGCATTCCAAAGAATTAGAGAAGGAGACAAAGACAAGAAGCAGCCAGATCTGAGCTGAGTAAACTCAACAATACTGATAAAATTAATTCCTTAGGTTATTACTCCTTGGCAGGGAAAGCTGAGGAGCACAGTGGCATCTTATTGTAAAGACTTCTTGTCTTTTTCCTGTCATCTTTCTTTTATGGTCTATTTATTTTCATTTGACATCAGCTAACTGAAGATTACAGGATTATTTCAGCAACTCAACACAGGTCATCAAAGTTGGGGATCAGAAGTACCACACAGAAATGGTGTGGGTTCAGATCCTATTGGAACAGAGCTAAAGAGAAGACCTCAGTCCTTTAGGACTCAACTAAGCTCTTTTAAATATGAGAGCAAGCTCCTTGATAAAAATCCCTGTACTGTCTAGGTTATGTTTACATGAACTGGCACATCATCTATTTCAGAAGCTCTAAGAAGTGGTGGAATGTATACTTAGGACTGCAAAAATAAAGGTCATTGGGGTTTTTTTGGCAATGGACAAGGAAGTAAACATGAAACTTCTATTGCACTGATTGCACACCAAAAGAAAACAACAAAAAACAAACAAAAAAAAAAACCCAAAAAAACAAAACCCCCAAAAAACCCAAACAAAAGTAATAGGATAAATTTTAATTTATAAAATTAAATACTAGCAAAGGTAGAAACCCAGTCCAGCATTAGGGTCTTCTAGGCAAACTCATATAGAAAAGCCAACTTTGAGAAACACATTCATGCAATGGACAAGATCATCTGCAGGCAAAACAACTGGATTTCTCACTGGGGCATATGCATGAAGCCTAATTGGCCATTTGCACATGAACAGTTAACATGACTGCACGCTTATTTTTAGCAAATGCACATTTAAAATTACAGACCCCAATTTTTGCCTGTGGGCCACTTCTAATATGGAAGTGCTGGAGGAAGACTGAGGGATTAGGAATAGAGGTATATTGTATATTTAGGCTACAGAAGGCACACTGGCAGCAGCCCTATGATTGTTTTGCACAAAATCTGAGAGAAATCACACTACTCTTTTAAAGTATAATCTTGTTTTCATTACATCACTTTTCAGTTTTCATTTCATTTGTCTTGCTCGAGATACAGCAGCCATTGAGTTTCTGGATGGCACGTTGTTATAACAATACAAAGGGAACTGCTTCTGGTTCACCTACAGGTATGGCCCATTCAAATATAAATAATATTTAATTAAAATGGGAAAATGTGGCTGTTGAATTAAATATTTAAATTTCTATAAAGTTTATTTGACCTTGCATTGCTACTAAAAACAAAGAAAAAACAACTACTATAATTAAAACCATATGCTCAAATTTAGCCCCAAACATTGAAATTATGAAAATCAGGGTAATTTCCTACATGTTCCTCATGCTGTTTGTCTGACACACTGCTTTAACTCTCCAAAGTTAATGCAAATGTGGACTCTTCCCACTAGCTCTGGTATTCATCCAGAAAAGGCTGTGAATACAGCAGTGTTATGCCACAGATGACACCATTGCGTGGTAAGCACTCTCTGCTGAAACAGTTAATTAGTATTCTACTTAGAATTAAAAAATAAATATACAACATATTCTCCAGAAGCTTCAGAACATTTGCATCAAAGAGGGACAGTTCAATTATTGCTGCCAAATGCTCAAAGACAAATGAGCAGCAGAAAAACAAACCATCTGACATCAAAATTGATAGAAGACAGCTTTTCTGTTCTAGACTCTTCCAAATGATTAATTTTTCTCTATTTTATTTTCATTTGTTGGAGGTCTTTTATTTTCAGGAAGACAGAAAGTGGAATAACACAATTGTTCTGGCAAAACACTCTAACCCTTGTTGGAGATTTCAATAATCAGTCACTATTAAACAAAACCATTTTGTTTTGTGATTGAGAAACCAAAAGCAGAATTTAAGGACAGAGAAATTACTATGATTTTTATCTATAACTTTCACTCTGGTTATGTTATAACCTGTACCATCACTTATACTCTGGCCTTAGAAGCCATCTGAAAAAATAGCCCAAATACTCAATTTATTAAACTACCCCATTACATGGTTCAATACCTAATACACTAAGATTAAAACACCCATCTTTTTTTTTCCCCATCTCATAGAAGAAATAAGTTAAATTGCACTTGTCTCATTCATGTCGAGGTAAGCCTGAAATAACTTAGAGGATGTGAAGTCAAAAAAAAAGAATAGTTTTATACAGAACTGATAGTCAGCCAGAGGTGTTATATTGTGTAGGCAGGACAAAACACCCTGGCAAGAAGTTGACTTTTCCAAAGTATGTACTGTACACACTGCAGGTGGATGGTGATGAATGGGAGGGGAAGGAAAATGGTAAAGGGAGAATGGACAAGGAAAGCAAATGAAGAGACAGCAAACTGGGATGCAAATGAATGCACTCACAGCTAATTGACTTGGTGTTTCTTAACCAAATTTCTTTCCTAATCAGAACAATAATAACAGGAAAAAATGATTCTCCAAATTAGCAATTAATATTTAAATCAGTTCTAGAAGATTAACATTCACAGATGTATACTATGTAATTTGTATGTGAATGATATACATTTACTAGTAGTAAGATCTGATAGGCAAATATAGCTTAGACAATCATATTTTTATTATTGATATGAAAAGACTACATACCATTTGGCATGTCAAGCATTTAAAAATTTTGCTATTTTCAAAGGCATTTCTGGAATTTTAGCTGCACAGTGTTTGGATATTTAACAATCATTCTGCTGACACACATTTGGAACTACTTGAATAAGAAGAAAAAATTATGAGTCTGAAAAAGCATAAAGGTTAGAAGACAAAGTTCCTTTTTTGAAACAGTAATATTGAAAAGTATTCCCCATGCCAAAGCAGTTTCAAATATGATGCATTCCTCATGAATGTTGTATAAACACATAAAATTCACTACATACATTTTTCAGAAGAAGCACATGATTATGGAGCACTTCATGTTCAGTTCTCCTGCCTGCCCTGCTGTTCTTAGTGAGGATGTGAACAAGGTTTCTTGTACACAAAATGTGGAACTCATATAGCCAGAGACATAACTGTATGTGTGCCATATGTCACAATCTCTTTTATTCCATAGCTTGATTAATGACCTTGTTGGTTTGGAGTTATAACTTTCCTTCCATATTACACAAGCATAAAGTAAAAAGATTTGTGACAGGCAAATAGATAATTAAGACAAAAAAATAATATAACGCAGATTCCAGACCTATCTATATATTTTAATACATAACTGTTTCCTCAGCTTGCTATTTTGAGGTACAGGATGCTTTCAGTTTCCTCAAACAATAATAGTAATAATAACAATAATTAACAATAATAATAGTAATCATCACCATCATAATCTCACAGAATCAGGGTCTTCTAATGTCATTTCTTTGTGTTGATAAACCCCAGGCTTTTTATTTGAAGGATGTTTTTCAGGGTGGAAATTTAAATAAACCAAATTTACTTAACAAGGGCCCACATAGTAAAAAAACCCCAGTGATTTTCAGTGTTAACATTTTAACACTACTGCTCCCATCACTGAATGGCTGTTCAGCACCACCAAGTGAACACTGCAAGACCTTTTGATGACACTGTACCTGACAGGTATGTTTGTTCTTCCATTTGCTCAGCACACAGGGACTGTTCTGCATTAAGTCCTAAAGGACAACAGAAAGTAGAGAGTGGAGTTGGCAGCACACATTGTCACTATCAGTTAACAGACTTCTGATTTTCCAGTTTACAGATGAAAAATGCCACACAAAGATGCAGCTGTTTCAGAAGAGCCCACCAGACAAAAGCACATTTATCATCACTGGGAGAGTTGGATCTTTATGAAAATTAAAGCTGTTGAAAGAGGTTTGAAAACCAGATGAGATGTTGCTGTGCTTGAACCTCTCTGAACCATACCTCTACCTCCTTGAGAGCATCTCGCAGTTTGTCCGCTCGCTTCGTTTTCAGGAGCCAAGGATAATCTCGAGCTGTCAAGTAAAAGTGAGGGGAAAAAGATAAAGAGGGTAGAGAAATGTGTATATGTAAGTGACTGTATACATATAAAGTGTGTGTGTGCAAACACACATTTATATGTGTCATTTTTAAAAGTTCTATGAGTTGAACTTCCTTTTTTGTGTAAACACAAATCCAAGGTTTCTAGGAGTTGCCTTACATGTAAAACTTACCTGCAGCTGGAAGGAATTGGCCATGGTTTCTATTGTCAAAGGATCTGTTTTTGGGAGGCTCAATCATAGGAACAGTTGGCATGCTCTATCCACAATGACCATGATTTCCCTATGGCAATTGTGTGCAAAGCTTACCCAGCTGCTAGGCACTTGCAGTGAAAAAGTATCTGCTGTTCAGTATATTAACTCAGTTTCAAGTTTCAAGCATCCTAAGTAGATTCTATTCTTCTGAACTAACCTTTCATTGCCTAATTTCAAAAAGCAGGCACTAACATGTCTGCAAAATATATATGCATGAATATATGCATATATAGAAATATTAACAACAGGCAAATGTGAATGCCATAACTTACAGAGTCTAGTTATTTATATGATGTTCTTGCAAATTTGGTCTGAAGAATCTGCCAAGTCAAGCAAAGAAAAAGCTGCATGACTGCTGAAGTCCTTTAACAAATTTATTAGTGTTCAGCACACTATTGTGAAAATCCTGACCTAATACATTAATTCTAGCAACCAGGAGGCAAAGCTTCCTCTTGAGTTGCCAATAATTGGCTTGTTTCATGGCTGAGAATCAGGCTCTAATAACTTGTGAAATTCCTTCATTTAAAAGTGAGCAGTTTTCTGCTCATAAGTGTACAATAAAACCATGAGAAACCAGAACACATTGTTTATAATCTAGTCCTATTTAAAGGAAACCTGATGAAAAGTTTTGAGCTCCAAGCTGTCAGTTTGTATGCCAACTTCCAGACTGAATGACTTAGCAGTTGTGCTTAAACCTCCCTGCAAAAAGCAACTTACAATAGAAGTGCTATACAGTGAAAAAATGAAGGATTTCATACATCAACAAAAGAGGACACCAGCATACAACTTCTTTTTGTGTTTCATTGGACTGAAGCCAGTGTTGGTGGAACTGTTATGATAATATTAATTAGGCATGTAAGATCACATTTTCAATGGCTGCTTTCATAAATACTGGAATATTTATCCACATATGCAAAATGGGAAATTGCCTGTACAGATACCAAACTATCTGTACAGATCAACAGCTGTGAATAAAGTTTCCCAGTGCTCCTCTTTGCAAAATGTGCTGTGCAGGCTCTGTGCCAGGGGCACCCCTACATTCCCAGGCACAAGGTGCAGCAGCTTGAGTTCCCGTTGCCTGTCACACGTGTAAAAGGCACCACTGGGGTGACAAGGGTTATCTGGGCCTGCTCCTCCTTTCACACATGCAGCCCTGTGGGATACCACTACACTGAGCCCAGGTGATGCAAACCTGTGAGGCTCCTCCCTGCCTAGAGCCCTCCCTCACCTCCCCACCTTCCCAGAGCCGCACTGGCCCCGCCTGACACAGCATCCTCTGCAGCGCTGTGGGTTTGCCACATGGCTGCACCTTCACACCCATCCCCAGCGGGGCTTCAGCCTGCTCCAAACACACCTTGCAGGGATGGGAAGAACTAATCCTTCCAGAATTTTGCCTTCATATGCACGCACAATTCCAGGGGAATTTTCATTTGGATAAGCTAACAGCATCGACACAGCTTTGTGAAGTTGTCTAAAAAATCAATTAGATTTTTCAGAGTTGTCACGTAATAATGTCTGAACATTAATGAATGCTCTGAGCAATGCAGGAGTTGTAAAACTTGAGCTAAAGAAAAGTTGTGCTAATATAAACATCTTTAACTGTCACAGTACTGCTGTGTGATAGCATGAACTGAAATTGCTTTTTATCAGGTAATGCAGGAACAGTGTAAATGTTTCAAAGCTAAAACCATCCTATGAAGGCAACTGATTATTAGTCTTAATTATTATTTATTATTAATTATTAGTCTCTTTGGCTGAAAGTATTTTAGTTACAATTTCCAGTTTTAAGCCAGTTGGTGTTGCAAGGCCAGAGATGACTGGGAAAATGTTTATCTGCTAAGTAAATTTCATAAGGAAAAATCTGGATTATTTTTGTGATTCCTGTTGACAATGCACTGGAAAAGCAATACACGCTTCCATGCCTAGTGACAGGGAAAAAAACCAAACAGATTGCAAATATACCAGGAAGGAAAAATTATAAATTTTCAATTGTTTTGTGCTGTGTAGTTTTATGATCATCAGTCTTAGATGACATGTGCAGAAAGTTACATTGGAAGCAGTCTGAGGTTATTTTAATGCTCTTCCAGAGGCATAATTAATCCAAATTTGCCATTTGATCTTACTGTAAGAAGAAACTCAGAAAATATCCTTACATTCTGCTAGTTTTTGCTTCTCTTCTAAGTAACTGTACTTCATCTGTGATGCTAAAGGGAAGAGGATGAAAAGATGAATTAATCCTTACAACTGCTGTCAGCAAATATTAATATTTAGTGAGAAGACCAGCACAGTTGGATAAAACACAGAAACTTCCAAACCAATCAAGACAGGCCCAGTGCTTTCAGCCTGTACAGCAGATATCTTAACCTGGCAGTGAAAGGAAGGTGGGCTGGCACCACCTAGCCCAGCCCCGCCAGCAGCAGCCAGGTGAGCTGGTATGGGAATCAATAAAATCAGAGGGTTTTGGGAAAGCTGCAAAAGGCAGGCCTCAGAGACAGCAGAACTGTGATTAGAGCTAAGCAGTGGCCGTAAAATAAGTCAGCAGAAAAAGTATGTAAAAAGTAGAAAAGTATGAACAAATGGAACAATGGTCTGTGTATTAACACTTGTCTAGAATAATTCCCCTAAGCTCTGAAAAGTATATCTATGGAGATATCAGGAAGTTCTAAGCTTAATAATGAAGCTCTGTGCATTGTGTTTTAAGGCTTACAAACAAGTATTGTATTCAAAATATGCAAGGGTTGTTTTAACCGAAGGTACGTGTGCTTGTAGTGGTTGGATAGAACTACTGTGCCCCAGGGAAACAGCGCCGGGACGGGCAGAACGGGGCAACTCCAGCCCCACAGCCCCTTCGGCCCGTGGGGAAACTTGTAGGATCAGCAGATTCATCAGAGCAGGGAAAGGGATGCTCGCCCCGGAACGGCCACTCCGGAGGGCAGGCAGAGATGCCCTCTGCTGGGATCCCGGAGATCACCTGGCCGTGCCCTGGGCTCCACACAACGCAAAATATCTTAAACCTGTAAGAATTCAGAGTGTAAAATCCCACAGAGGTTTTTTTAGTTACATAACGGTTGGTTTTATGTGGATTTTTTCCTTTTTCTTCCCCCCTTCTGTGGTTTAAAAAGTTTTTTTTAATATTCCTACATAAGTTTGGAGAGAGAAATTCTTTCTGTGTTTCCCTATTCCATAGAAATACAGAGGTATATGCTAACAAGAAATTTGAAGCTGCATTTTTAAGAGTAAGCAGTTGGTGTCAAACACTGAACATCCTGAAGTTTTGTTCAGTTTCAGTTATAGCTATTTATATTTTACCTGATTGTTTCTTGTCACGGTACTGGTGGATCCCAATGTCTTCATCTGTACAATTAAATGTAAATACATTAAGTTATTACTAGGAACAGAATTAATTACTAGGAACAAAACACAACTTAGAAAGCAAGGTTCAGCACCTCAATTTTTGCCTGCTAAAGCAGTGTTTGGTGTTAAAATACAAGCACAGTATATAGCCTGAACACCACTGGAATTTTCAAGAATCTGCAGAGAAGGCATGAAGAAGGATGTGACAAGCCCTTCCATTTATTTGGAGCTGTCATTTCCCTTACATACACTTTGATTTCCTTCCAGCTGCACATATGCAAAAGCATTTTTACAACCTTCCTAATTAGCATATTTTGTGTTCTTTCACAAGGAAAGGTAAGGATCATGGTGAAAAGTGTATCTTGGAATAAATTAAAAATGTTTTCTGATGACTGACAGAACTGAGCTAAATACAACAGGTTAGAGTTTTTTTCTAAGATTCATGAACTCATAAAGCTGCTCTTTCAAAGGATCCAATATTCTTAATCTACAGGTATTATCACCTAGCTGCTTCCTGTGGCACAGAAATCTGGATATTTCAGCTGCATAGGGACTGCACCCAGCTCCTGATGTGGCTGACAGGTGAGCACTTAGGGGTGCCATGGCAAGCTCCACTGGGCATGTCTAAGTACAGCATTATGTTCCATTGTTTTAAAATAATTATTTTTTCACTGCATCTGTGTCCTCCTAAAGTCAGACAGGCATATTCCATGGGGAGAAATTCATTAGATGGAAAAAAATTGTAGGAAGGCACTTAAAAGGCAGGCAGGTTTTAAACTAGAATATCATCCTCCCTTCTGCTTCAGAATTTTTGAATGAGGCACCTCAGCAATGAATAAATGGAAGCAAGAAGGTCAAAAGTGACAAATAGGCATGGTACTCCACAGCAGAGCTTTAATTACAATAAATCACAACAGTGTTTTCACTTAAACCATGGGATTTTTCTGTGAAATATAGATTTTGAGTTTTAGATGTTATTGTTGTCATAGAACAGTTCTCACACAAAGATGGGATGTCAAGGCACACTGAGTCAATATTTGAGTAATAACATTCATCTGAATATCAACTAACTATTCAAAATAATATTTCAATAAAAATATTGCACAGTACAATTGACATGATGTGTCATAAATAATCTTTTGATATTGTCCACTTTTAAATCAGTGAGTTTTTTTAGAATTATGTTTTAGGAACAGCAAGGCAAGATGAATAAGATAATGTATACATGGCTAGGATTTAGTCATATGTCTTTTGGAACAATCAATTAATAAGACAAATACATCCTTGTAAGTATGAAATTTCAAGGAATCATGCAAAATACTGAGAACATGCAGTAATCTTTTATTTTCACATTGAGTACAAATTACAATGCCTCTGCAGTGCACTTGACTGTGGATCATTCACCCAAACTAGCCATTAAACTGAAGTTCACAGTCAAGGAGGCCACAGCTTCCCAAGAAGGGAAATACATCCAATCAAATATAATCTGAATATTTTTTACTTGAAAGGATGCTCCAGTTCATTACAAGAAATGCAAAGAAGCTGACCAAATTCAAAGCCTGCATTGCTGCTAATTTTCTTTCTCCTAAGTATAAAAAACTTTCGAGTATTCAGAATTTTACATTAGTTTAATATTCATCAACAAGCTTTGATGATTTGTTTTAGTAACAGATAAAAGCTTACCTCTAATACGTAAGTTGGTCTTCAAAGACCACAGAAACATCTCAGTCAGGCAGAAGGACATCTTGTGATATATGGAGCCTTAGCACTAGCAAAAGAAGGAAAGGAACTGCATGAGTCCATTTTTTACCCTTCATCGCCACTGAAATGGCAATTATTTTGGAACCTAAGTGCTGGAAGAACCTAGCACTGATGATATTTTGTTACATGTAAGCTGTATTTTAAAATTGCAATTAAAATGAATAATTATTGGGAAAGAATGGGATAAGTAACATAATATACATGTACACATCAAACACAGAGAGGAAGTAACAATTCTTTAAATGTACAACTGCCCTCACTAAAGCATATAACTTAGTGCTTGATGCTTCTAATATTCACATTATTACCTATTTTTACTGTATGGTTATTACCTTGACAGATGCAAAACTGAATCCACTACTTAAATATGTGATTTAGATATGAGAATTTGACATTCAGGCCAAACTTTTTAATTCTGTACATTGGGAAGTGTCAATATATTAAAGAAACAGTTTTGAACATAGTATTTGTAGGCATTAGCTATAGTGTCAAAACAAATGATGTCTTTCTAAGTGAAGACACCCCAAATCACTTAGATTAGAACTGACATAACAGATGTGAAGCTTACAGAATATGTGTTGAAGTATTGTATACATTGCTATTAAATTCTTGCTAAGTTTTTTTTTAACAATCCCTCTGAATGTTCCCAGTGGAGGACATGTTGTGTTTCAAAGGAGCATTGGGAATTTTCCTAGACATAGTAACCAGCAGACTCCCCTGAGTGATTTCCTGCAGTGCTGTAGTCATAAATGGGCCACCAGACCAATTATTTTCACTTCTGCTAAACCTGGGCACCCACTGAAATCTGGACTGAGCAGAGGTGTTCACACAATGCAGCAACCTTTAGAACCACTGCTAGTATGGTACTATATTTAAAATTTTTTTTTAAGTAGTATCTTCATTTGGTTCCCGTGAGTGCCTTTTAGATAATGAATCAATTTAGGTAATAATTGCAGAATTTTTATCACATAGAGTATCAGAACTTTATGTCAAGAGTGTGAATGATGAAAAATATGTGCAAGGATGTCGGGTAGCACCAAGGAAGCTGGGACACCTTGAGGTATTATCACTCAAGCTAATATTTATGTTTGAAGAACTGCCTAATCCACTGAAATAGCACCAAGTGAAAATGGCATTTTTTTCCACTGATCCCCAAATGTACAAAAAGTCTTGCTGACTTAGTAAATCCCATACTTCTGCCAAAAAACCCCACAAAAACAGACCAGCAAAAACAAACAAAAAAAGCTCACAACGCACACCACACACCTAGTAAAAGAATATACCTTCATCTGAAGTGAGAATGAGGTTTGGAAAAAAATAGAGGATTAGGAGCATGGTGGTCTGTTGAGCATGAGAACCATTTTTGGTATAAATATAGATGAGGGCAGCCCCTCCTTTACCATGTGGACTGAAGTAAAAGGAGACTGTGCAATATAATTTTATCTGTTTTCTCATTTTTTACTTACTTGCATTAGCAAGTGAAACAAAACTTGCATTCCGCAGGGCCCATAGATCCCAGATTAGAAACTCCCACTAACAGGAAGTCATCATTTTGAGTGAGCTTCTCAAAATCCTGTCATGGCCTGACTAAAACAAAACCCATACACCTTCAAGTGGCAGATGATCTGTTCAGCAGGAGAGGAGGTACATCTGCCCCAAAGCAAGGTGTGCTGGGGTGACCCTGGCTGGACACCAGGTGCCCACCAAAGCTGCTCTCTCTGCTCTGCTCAGCAGGACAGGAGAGAGAAAATTGAATTAAAGGCAGGTGAGATAAAGGTAGGGAGAGATCACTGACTGTCTGCCATCATGGGCAAAACAGACTTGACTCGGGGAAATCAGTTTAATTTAATATCAAACAAGATAATAAGAAATAAAATAAAATCTTCCCCCTACTACCAAAATCTTGCTGCACAAACCCAAAATAACAAGGTAAGACTAGAAGATTTTGGCATGGCAGATAATCTAACATAAACTGCCCAAATTATTCCAGAGCTCTTGTATGTAGGCTCCATAGACACTTCAAGTTGTGTCCTCCTATTGAATATAAAACCATCCCATAATGCTCTAATGCTGCTGAGTGCCTTCCCACCCGACAGGTCAGAAAATAATTTGAAGTCCTTTTTTTTTTGTTGTCAGACTCATAGAGGGAACTTGCCAAAAAGGAGAAGCAAGTTTTCAAATAAGCACTAAATACTCAAAGTCCAAGATGCATACTTTTACAAATTTGTCCTCAAAAATGTGGAAAAAAAAGAAATATTGTAAGAAAATGTTAAAACCCTAGACTTCTAAAGAACACCCTTTCACAGTGAATAATGAAGAGGAAGCATAATTCTCCTTGTACCTAAAAAGAGAGAAGAGATTTGTCAACTACCAGAATTTTGAGAGCTTAGATTTTTTCTTCTCCCTTTCCTTGAACTCCGAACACTCACTAACCAGCTAATTATTGGAATGCTGATTGCTGTTGTGCCAGTGAAAATGGACAACTGCCCAAAAATACTGTTCCAATGTAATAAACTCTAATCTGAAATACCTTCTGATTAGTTACATTCCACAGTAAAAATTTAAAAAGAGAGAAAATTTGCTTCTGTAAGAAAATATGGCATTATCAAGTCTGAGTACTTTTTTCAGAGGAATTATTCTTTCTTGTTCCTTTTAAAGGAATACATGCCAGCTTTCAGAGTTATGCAACTATATCTCACCATTTCCCACATCATTATATTCCAGCACAATGGGGATGAGGATGATGACGACAAAGTGATCTTTTTCTATTTGAAAAATGCCTCTCAGAATGTACAATATTCCTTTTACTCCATGAGATGGGCCCTGCTATAGCAAAAATGGTAGGTGTGAAAACATAGAAAAATTCCACCCATTGAGCTTTAAGAACTCTATTCCTTCCCCTTTAAATTGATTAGAATTTAGAAAAAATGGGATGAAATAACTCTCCTGTTAAAGTAAAATTGAAATTCAGCTTAACAGCTGGTTCTTTTTCTGGCTCACACATTTACTGTCTGCTTTCACAATGCCACCACAAACAACAGGGATATTTTAGTGGTTGCAAAAGCTTACTGACAAATGGAGATGTTTTGCAATGGTCATCCTGTGCCAGTATCTGTGTGAGGATTGTTTTGTTTAAAAAAAAAAAATCTTCATTTTGGTAACTATTCATACAGAAAATAATTGCCCTGCCACTTTATAACATCAACAAATGCTGAAATTGATAGCAAGAGTCCTCTCTGACACCCTCAATATAGGTTCTGTCATGACAAATAATTAGAAACTATGCACTGCAGGAGTGATCTGGGGCACTGGTGCTGTATTTCCTCTCTTTCCATAGTCACCTGGGAGAGTGGGGTACTTGTGAAAGGCAGTGCTCAGCTCTCAAGGTGAGTGCATCCCAAAAACACCTCTGAAAACATACTAGGAGCAATGTAGTGATGCCTCAGATTTTAGCTTTTCTATTTTTCAGATTCTGTGCTGTTTTAGTGTGTGGGTCTGACCTTCATATTGGGGCACAGCAAGCTCTCTTCACAGAGCAGGTAGGCAAAACAATTCCTTCTCTAGCTGGGGACCAAGGACAGCTGGACCAGATCTCAGGCCCAAGAGCATAAACAATGTAGACTGAAGAGAGAAAAACAAGAAGGATGGGACTTCATGGACTAAAGCTGTAACTGGACAATTAGCTCCAATATGCTAATGGACCAAAACTTATAAAAGTGTGAGATCCCATGACTGGTCATCCATTTTTGTGACCATTTTGGTTTTGTCTGGGGTGCAGCCCTGGCTGGGCTCATGTACTGCCCAAGGTGTATCCATTGAGGACTTCTAATAAATCCCAACTTTATTCTTCAGCTCCATCTAGTCTCTGTTCTAGGTCAGCCTTCACAAGGCATCACTAGAGCTAGAGAACAGAAAATGCTGACTACAACAGACCATCTGAACTTGGCAGTTCATGTGCCAGAAGCACAGCTCAGTGTGACAATACTATCCAAAGTGTCACTAGAAGGGTAAACCCTGTAGCTGCCACGATACAGGACAGCCTGTGATGACCATCTGCCTACTCCATTGAAGGTGGGCCCAGGAATGTGCTCCCAGAAAGTCAACATTCCTAGTAAAAGAGCACTAAACAAGGGGGATCACCCCCAAAATATTGACATTGTTTGGGGCACACTCCTAGGAGTGGAAGCAAGGTAAAATACAAAGTCAGTCGGGAGCGGGTCCCTCTATGCCACACAAAGTCACAAAACTGCTGCAATGGCATCCATACATGTACTAAATGAGGTGCTTTGGATATGGGGTTGGGCACAGGTTATAGGACAAAATGCCCAAATAAAAGAAAACACTGCAGAATCCATTTTCACTACTTACATGTCATCAGATTTTCTTTGACAAATAATACAACACCAGGAATTATGTTATAAAAATTGTCACAGGTTACCCTTTTGTGTTCTACTCCATGGAAATACACAATCATAGAATACCCTGAGTTGGGAGGAACCCACAAGGATCATTGAAACCCAGCTCCTGGCCCTGCATGATTCTTGAACTCTGGCTGGCTGGTGAGTCTGTTCCACTGACCAATCTCCCTCTGGGTGAAAAACCTTGTCCTAATATTCAACAAAAACCTCCCCTGACACGGCTTCATTCCCTCGGGTCCTGTCACCACAGAGAAAAGATCAGTGCCTGCCCCTCTGCTGCCCCTCATGAGGATGTTGAAGACCCCACTGAGGTCTCCCCTCAGTCTCCTCCAGGCTGGACAGACCAAGTGATCTCAGCCACTCCTTACACAGCTTCCCCTCCAGACCTTTCACCATCCTCGTGGCCTCCTTTGTACACTCTCTAATACCTTAAGTTCTTTTTTACATCACGGCACCCAAAGCTGCCCCCAGCATTGGAGGTGAGGCTGCCCCAGTGCAGAGCAGAGCAGGACAATCCCCTCCCTTGCCTGGCTGGGGATGCTGTCCCTGATGCCCCCCAGGACAGGTTGTCCCTCCTGGCTGCCAGGGC